GGTTTTTCTTCTTTTCTTTTAATCAAATGCAGGAACAAAACTTGGAAAATTCATGCCCAATAGTTTCTGTGGAAGAAATCATAACAGAATAAATTATCTAGAAAAATAAATGGATTTGTTTCTACAAACAAATATCTATTAAAAATGCAGAGGAAAGTTGCATAATTTTCAATGGAATTGACGCAAAAAAAATAGAATTTTTCAATAGAATTACAATAAAACTTAAATAGAATTCTCATAGAGCTCCAATAGAAATTCAATAGGAATTCTTAGAGAAAGTGCCAGGTTTTAGATTCGATGACAGAGGGAAAAATCAGTAAATTTCAAATTTTATAGAAAGTTCAGTATAATTCCATTTTTTTTAATGGTAAGAAGACAAGGATTTTCCAAAGTATTCAAATTTTAAATCGATATTCTAAAAATGCATAAATATCATTCTATTCCACCCTCCACTCGAAACGACACGACTCAATCGGAGCTGAGTTCTAAGCGTTGAGCCACAGCTCAAACTCAAGTGCCGGGTTATGGCGTCTGATGAGCGTTCGACTGTGAGCCGGTATGGAGCGGCGTGTCGCGGCGTGAACTCGGGTCAAGCGGCAAGCCGAGGCTGAGCTCGCGCTCACCCGAGTTGCGGCTGAATTCCCGGTTGAATTTCTACCCGGGTATACTCTTGTATATCGCTTAATAGTTTATTGACTGCGTGTATCGTCGAGTGATGGTGCCTGAAACCATATAAATTATCAGAAATTATTTTGTTTTCTTTCTCGTACGATAAGATAGAGTTATTCATTACGGCTTCATAGATTTTACTTAGAGATGAGGTCATACTAATTGGTTTGTAGCTTGCAGGATCAGACAAATTTTTATATTTTTTAGGTATTGGAATTACCAAAGCTGTTTTCCACTGAGTAGGGAAGTAGTAATTATTCAAATAATTATTGAAGATTTTTACCAGATCCAGAATCATTGACTTAGGGAGGTGTTTAATAATTATTGGAGGGATTTTATGCAAACCGCTAGAAATTTTATTAGGTAAGTATTTTAGAATTAATTTTACCGTGGAGGCGTCGGTAAAGTAGTTATCAATAGATGAATTTGAACTAGCTTTTGTAGCTTTGTTATTAATATCAAATTTAGTGAGAGTACGTTGGTTATTTATATCATTGAACATTTCAGATTTGAAAGTTTTGATTTTCCCATCAATTAATTCTTTTAGTCTTGAGTTTTCGTTTAAATAACGTGGAGAACTAACTCTTTGATAATGTCGGGTGCTCTTACCATCTGAGCTACCAGGACACTTACGAATTTCATTCTCAAATTGAATCATACGCGAGTGGAAATTTTCAGTCAGGTTCTGGTCAGACACTGATCAGGTATGTAACGCTGATCAGGTATGTAATTTTGTAACTTCCTAGGAAGTTACAAAATTTTTTCTCACCACAATTGAAATTTAATTAGTGCCTAATGAAGGTAGGCGGCGAAACCATAGTGGAAAATAGCGTTACATACCTGATCAGTGTCTGATCAGGACATTACTAAAAAAATTTCCACTCGGGTATGATTCAATTTGAGAATGAAATTCGTAAGTGCCCTGGTAGCTCAGATGGTAAGAGCACCCGACGTGACATTGGGAGGGCCCGGGTTCGATTCCCGGCTAGGAAGTTACAAAATTTTTTTTCACAAAAATTGAAATTTAATTAATGCCTAATGAAGGTAGGCGGCGAAACCATAGTGGAAAATAGCGTTACATACCTGATCAGTGTCTGATCAGGACATTACTAAAAAAATTTCCACTCGGGTATGATTCAATTTGAGAATGAAATTCGTAAGTGCCCTGGTAGCTCAGATGGTAAGAGCACCCGACGTGACATTGGGAGGTCCCGAGTTCGATTCCCGGCTAGGAAGTTACAAAATTTTTTCTCACAAAAATTGAAATTTAATTAATGCCTAATGAAGGTAGGCGGCGAAACCATAGTGGAAAATAGCGTTACATACCTGATCAGTGTCTGATCAGGACTTGACTAAAAATTTCCACTCGGGTATGATTCAGTTTGAGAATGAAATTCGTAAGTGTCCTGGTAGCTCAGATGGTAAGAGCACCCGACGCGACATTGGGAGATCCAGGGTTCGATTCCCGGCTAGAAAGTTACAAAATTTTTTCTCACAAAAATTGAAATTTAATTAATGTCTAATGAAGGTAGGTGGCGAAACCATAGTGGAAAATAGCGTTACATATCTGATCAGTGTCTGATCAGGACCTGACTAAAAATTTCCACTCGGGTATATCTTCTGTTATTTTTCCGATTTAATTTTATCCACAATTCATTTAGTTTGAATTTTTTGAAAAATGTCATTTTCAACCAATTTCACAACTTCAGCATGATTTTTCTCTCAAATCTGATGTACTAGGAGAATTCTACAAAAACTGTTGAGTTCAGCATGAACAATTTGTATTGTTTTAATATCATTTTCGGAGACGAGCTTGGCCTTATTTTGTTGTACCGTGTAGGAGGAAATGTAACTTAATTATGCCATAAACTGTATTACTCACTTTTCAAAATGTTCCTTTTTCAAGTATAAAGAATTCAGTAGCTGTTGAAGACAGGTCAGAGAAGAAAATACTCGATGTTTTGTTAATTATGAACGCATATAAATTTATTGAAGGAAACAAAATGAAATTGGTAGGAAGGCTTTGATATTAGCTTGGTAGCCATCTTGATAGATACTAATTAACAGGCTATACAAAGTGGGGGAAAAACCAAAACTAAACTTCCCTAGGCTCAAGTGTAAAACAAAATACGCCACACGTAAGGACCGATGGTTTCCAACATCCTCTCCCATCTTGAGTTGGAGATTTACATTTTTTTTTATTAAACTCAGAATATTCAACTCAACAATAAAACCATCGTGCCAATGTCTTTAACGTTGTAATTTTAGCGGAACTTTCACTACTCGTCCACACCTCGTTGTCACAGATTCCAGGATCTTCTCTTCCATCAGCTGACGTTTGTAATCAGTTCCTGTTTCCATCTGTCTACGTTTGGGCCCAACCAGCCCCCTGTTACACAGTGTTTTCAGTGTCCCTCATATTGAAGCCATTACAGATGGCGCGGAGAGTCATCTGACGGGTCCCCACTTTTCACAATTATCCCCCACTCTTTGACGGTTTTCGCGCTTTCGGAACCGTGAAGAAATGGAATTTGTTGGGATTAGACTGATAACCTGATGTGCAATTAGCGACTGCACAAGTAGGCATAATTATGTCAGTTTAATCTCACTTTCAAACCATACAATACGAGTTATTCCGGCGTTTCCTTTAAAACAGAGCAGAGAAATGGCGGCAGTTGGGAGAATGGAGGGGGTCAGTCAGGTGTAATCCAGCGCCGCGTTGTGGCCGTCAGAAACAGCCTCGATAATGCGGACACGCGTATTGTATAGGGGCATTGGATTTAGTATCAGGGGGCTGGGCTCAACCACTTTCCAGGGTGGTGGAGCAGACTCCTCAGTATCCTTACCATAAACAGAATCACGGTCAGGTGGTTGTTGTTGGTCTCCCGCAACCAACTCTGTAGCCTCAGCGCTAGACAATTCGCAAGGATACAGTCTCTGGATGGGTCTCACGAGAGTTCTCCTGTTAGCAGCAACCCTCAATTTAACAACTGTAATGATTGCATCCTTGCTAGGGTAGACTTCAACAACTTTGGCCAGAGGCCATTCCAGTCGCTTCTGATTATCAGCACCGACAAATACCAAGTCTCCTTCCGTGATGTTTGCACTGAGTCCTTTTTCATAGCTTTTGCATGCGAGTTGTCCGAGGTACTCGCTGCAAAACCTGTCGCGAAGTTCGCCTCTCAATCTCTGTCTATACAGGATGCGTTTTCGCAGTGCCTGGGCATCCACTTTGTCAATGTCGGGTATACCATAATGTCGTAAATCCCATAGAAACATGTCTGACGTGAGGGGCATCAGCTGTTCAGGATCCTCAGCCAAGTATGTCAATGGTCGTGCGTTAATTACGGCCGCACAGTCACATAAGGTAGTCTGAAATTCTTCGTAATTGAGTGACTCTCTTCAGGGTCTTCCTCAGCAAATCTTTAATGATACGCACTAAGCGCTCGCACCATCCCCCCCACCAGGGAGCTGATGGTGGATTGAAACGCCTTTCAATCTTGTTTAACGTACCTCGTTGAGCAACCTCCGTCCAATCGATCTCATGCAACTCTCTGGAGGCTCCAACGAAGTTGGTACCATTGTCACAGTAAATAATGGACGACCGCTGCGAGCGATGAAACGCCTGAATGATTCCAAAAAAGAAGTGGTAGACAACGAGACCACCAACTCTAAGTGAACCGCCCGATAAACGGCACAGGTGTAGAGTACAACCCAGCCTTTGCGTCCATATTTGAGGTACAGAGGTCCAGCTAAATCAACTCCAGTTACCTCAAACGCAGCTGCATCTCTCACTCTGGCTTCTGGCAAGGCCACTGGTGTTGATTCTAGTCTCTTCACATTATAGCGCTTACAGATCATGCATTGGCGAACAACTGATTGGACTGCGCGTCTGCACGAAAGAATCCAGAAGTCCTCTCATAGCTTCCTCATGACCTCGATTGAACCATGATTCAGGGTGAGATTTCGAAGGTATATCAGCTTCTGGACCAAGGGGTGGCATAGTCCAAAACAACAGGGCATCGAAATCCTAGTGTATCGTCTCTATTTGAAATGAGTGATTTTAAACGTAAGAGACTTGCTGCGTCTTTGTAGATCGTCATCCCAATAAATTGAGGGTCATTCACCCCTGAGAAACTTTCTTCTTGGACTAACCTTGGGGGGGTCAACTCGCCGTGCTCAACTTCTTGAAGGGACAACCGTCCTCTAAAACGTTGGTTAGGATTCTTTCTGCAATTGACTAGGAATCGTTGGATCCATGTCATACGTCTAATAAGTTGCGTGTAACGTAAAAATGTTGATATGTACCAAGGAACCTCCTCGTCTTGTTGTTAACCTTGAATATTACTCAAGACATGACAGATCGCCGTACACGTTACTACACCTTCATCAGGTGTCTTCTTCTTGTTGGTGGCCTTCTTGACCGCTCTATCGACTTCTGCTTCGTCCATCTCACCGGTAGAGTTCGGCCACAGTGCAGGGGGAAGTTTTAACCAGGCACCCTCATGCCAGTGAGATTCGATCAGTTGTTTGGCGGTACATCCGTGATGGTAGGTCTGCTGGATTAAGACTCCCTGGAATGTGGCTCCAAGACGCTGGACCCGTGAGACTGCGAATTTTCTGAACCCGGTTCCACACGAAAGTACCCCATTCTTCATCTTATTGTATCCAGGCAAGCACCGTTGACGAGTCAGTCCAGAAATATTGATGTACTTGGGTATAATTCAAGGCAGATACCACTGAGGCCATGAGACGAGCTCCCACCGTCGCTGCCAGCAGCTCCAGCCGAGGTATACTGGGTTTGTCCTTGGGTGACACTCGAGCCTTGGCAATAACAAAGTGGCACTCCACTTTGTCACCTAATTCTACTCTGGCATAAACGACAGAAGCGTACGCCTCCTGGCTGGCATCTACGAATGCATGGAGAGAGATCAATGCTTCTTCAGGTCCTCCCCCAAATGCCCACCTTGGTATTTCCAACTGTTTCAACTAAGAGAGCTGATCCAACCAATGACTGAAGGCATTCTTGGTGACCTCATCCGCACTGGTATCCCAACATAACTCCTTGGACCACAATTTTTACAGCAGAACCTTGGGACAAATGAGGACTGGGCAGATCATGCCGAGCGGATCAAATAGACTCTGCGTGGCAGAAAGAACTGTTCTTTTAGTGATGTTAGCTGGTCTCTCCTTCTGAATGACTGTATCAGCCAGTGTCAACGTGTCCGTTTCACGATTCCAGATGAGACCCAGGACAGAGCTTGCTGTCGATGGCATCTCCAACCCTGAGTGCTCCCATCCTCTTAAATCAAAACCTCCAGTCTTGAGAGTTTCGGTGGCAATTTTTTGAAATTTGTGACGCTTTTCTGGCGAATGGACACTCGTGACACAATTGTCTACGTAGAACGATCCTCTCAACTTTTCCAGGGTAATGATCTCGACTTGGGACTCTGTATTTTCCATAGCTCTGTATTTTCCATAGCTGGAGACTCCAAAAACAACTCTGAGATGACGATAGTGCTCTCTTATGTCTGGGTTGTGTGTTGGTCTCCATAAAACTCTCAGGAAGTCTCTGTCCTCAGGGTCAACACTAATTTGGAGGAAGGCCTTGCGTACATCTGCTATGACCCCAATCCTTTTCTCTCTGAACCGCATGAGCAAGGAGAGAATGAGCTCAATCAGGTTTGGCCCGGTCTCCAGGCATTCATTGAGTAAGGGTCCGATTTTTCCTTTCGCTGAAGCGTCGAACACTGGCCTGATTCTTGTGGTACTGTTCTCTTTTATGACTGATCGATGGGGAATGTAATGTCCAGGATTGTTCACCTCATCTTCTGGTACCCTCTCGATGATTCCCTCCTCAAGCCACTCATAGAATATTTTCTCGTAATCACTCACCATGTTCTTTGCCTTTAGTCGAGTCCATGTCGGGTCCAGTCCCTTCTCTGCTAAAAAACGATTGTCTGGGAGGGATGGATGATTCTCCTTCCAGGGTAATAATACCTCATAACGACCTTGTGCGTTTATCCTGGTGATGTCGTGAAACTTCATCAGTACCTGCTGTTGATGAGCTTCCTTAGAAATCTTTTGGACGGCATCCGTGATGCCCAGTACGTCTAGGTCCCAGAGTTGGTTGACGTTGGCTTCCTGAACGAACATTGACACAGTGAGCAAAGCTGGATCTGCTTCTTCTGATTGTGGTTGGGAGGCTTTTCCTAGGAGCGTCCAGCCCAGTCGTGTTTCTACGGCCGTAATGCCGCTGTCGAGATTGTGTAGCCCACCAGTGTACAGCCTTCCCACAACGTCCGCACCAATCAGCAATGAAATAGGCTGTCTTCCCTATCCCACATCAGTTAAATAGACTGACCTTTGCTGTAATTATCGTATCCAAGGTCCACTAGGAATCCTAGGAATGACTCGACAAATATTCCCTTGGTGGTAGACCAAGAAATTGCATGCATATCCTCCATCCAGACTGCGAATGCGTACTCGATAAGGTGGGTGATCTTGTGGTTGGGTCTGGGAGCCGCCAAAGAGGGAGTGTACTATGGTACGACTTTCTTCTATTTCATATCCCAAGGATTCAGCTACTTGACCCAGGATGTAGGAGTGATGAGAGCCAGTGTCGATAATTGCTCTCACCGTTTGCTCTTGACTGTCATTAACCAGCTTGCCTTGAAGCGTTTGACGAAAAACCTGCGGATCTGACGACAGATTAGCGAGACTGCTCCACCACTTTGCTCGTAGTTTTTGTCTCAGTCTCGGCAGAAGTATTCATCTGACGGCACATCAAGAGCACGTGCTTTCACCCACACCACTTACACTTTTCCTTGTAGCGACAAGTTTTGCAGCTGTGATTAGTTTTTAAGCAGTAGAAACAGGCGTTCTTAACCTTTGCCATTTCTATTCTCTCTGCCAAAATCATTTTCTTGGCTTTTTGACAGGTAGCACTAGCATGGGCTTCACTACAGAAGATGCAAGTGACTGAAGGAGTAGCTTTCGTTGTCAGTTATCCAGCTGCTGTAGGTAATGGCATGGATTCCTCCTTCGGCTTCTTCTTGTGCTTGTCTTGATTTTCTTTCTTTTCCCCGTGGGCCGTTGAATTTAAACCAAACTTGTGGGCTGCCATGGAAATTCTGTGCTCGGACACAACTTCATTTTCCAGAAGTTCCATAAATTTCATTAGCTTTGTTTTGGTATCGTTGATGTTCAGGTTGGTTGAGTGTCGCTACCAAGCTCGAAGCAGCTCCTCTGGTAATGATGACTCTACTAATGGATAGAGCATAGCGGCGCACATGTTTGTTGCGACTCCTAATGACTCAAGGGCTCTCAAGTGCGTTGATAACTTGTCGTATATACTTGACAATTTGCTGTGTGATGCACCGTTAACTGCGTTGTGCAGGACCAGATTTAATAACTCTCGAATATACACTTCCACCAGCAATTCCTTCTTACCGAAACGTTTTGTTAAACTCTCGACAGCTTTGTCATAATTTTTGGCTGTTGGTGGAAAGTTGTTCACGAGCTCACTGGCTCCTGAGCTAGGTGCCATGGCTTGGGATAGGTAATTGAACTTTTGCTCTTTGGGAATGGACGCATCGTCGTGGATGGGCTTGCAGAGACCCCAGAATAGAAGCCAATCTTTCAACTCATCACTGAACTTGGGAGGTTCGATCTTGGGTAGCTTTACTCCTTTAGTGTTTGTCCTGGACTGAGCTGTTCTAGTCCCGACAGGCCTCTGCGACGTGCTCCGAAGAGAATGAGGTGTTGTCCTTTCTAGAAATGCTGAGACCTCAAACTTGATTTGGTGATATTCCAACTTGTAGTCATTTTGTGAATCTAAATCTTCCACCATGTCATCCTCTGAACACGTGTCATCTGTCCGCATAGACTCTAGGATCTTTCCATTCCACTCTTCTAGTTCGCTAGCCTTGTCTTCTACTAGAGCGAATGTTGAGTTAACCTCTGGAATTCTGGGTGGTGTGGCGGTTAGCTCGGTCGCGAGGGTATTGTAGGCACGAGTAAACGATGCCGTACTGCGGCCCTTGCCTTCTTTAAACCCTCCATTTCTCTGACGCTGTTATCCGAACAGTCCTGTCACGGTCGCCAAAATGTTGTAGACAGGTCAGAGAAGAAAATACTGGATGTTTTGTTCATTATGAACGCATATAAATTTATTGAAGGAAACAAAATAAAATTGGTAGGAAGGCTTTGGCATTAGCTTGGTAGCCATCTTGATAGATACTAACTGACAGGCTATACAAAGTGGGGGAAAAAACCAGAACTAAACTTTCCTAGGCTCAAGTGTAAAACAAAATACCCGACACGTTAGGACCGATGGTTTTCAACAGTGGCCAAGCGGTGAAGCGATTTTGCTTATCGGGCAGTTTTTATTCACTGAGAAAAATCCGAACGCTATTTCGAAGTCGCGCTCGACATCGAAAAAAATTCAAAAGCGCCGACTTTGTTTCAAAGTTGCGCTCTTGAATCGAGGGCGGCACCGTTGATTCATAATTTTCGGCGCTTGAGGTCCTATTTTCCGCCGTCAAAAAGCCGCGCTCTTAATTCAATGTCGCCGGGATTCAGTTCAATGTTGGCGCGAATTATTCAAGGGTAGGAACCTTTGATTTAAAGTTCCTCACGCTATTGATTTATACGATACAAAAGTGAAGTCTAAGGCAATTGATTCAATGTCTCACGTCGATGAATTGCGAGCATGACGTACGATTCGAGGTGCGAAAAATGTATGCTTTTCACAGGTATGTACATTTGTTTTAACGCCTAGAGTTATCAAAAACAGATCTTTCTTTGACAAAAACAAATCGCGCCAGCGATGAGAAAAATACATTGTACGATTCTGCGAATTCAGGGACGCCCGTCCCACTTCCCCCCAAAGTTCACAGCCGTGTGTCGCCGGACTCATGCACGGACACGCTGAAAAAAATTGAATATCAACACGACGAAAACCAACAAAAACAGGCGCAGTTGAGACGCATTTTTTCATTCGTCGGGAAGACATGATGTGATGAGGACGATGAGCCTGAAATTGGCGAACGCTTCTGGTGAACGATATCCACAACTTTTGGAGCGGACCGTACTGCCGACGCTCCAAACAGACCGTAGAAGGGGGTCACGTTTTTTAGCCCTAATTTTTATAAATAATTAAGGAACATGACAAAAAATGTTTAACACAGCCTTACCCCTCCATATGCATATATTATTTGAATGAAAAATAAAATTGCTAAATTTGAATAAAAATTTTCAACATTGGGACTTCGAGAGGGGGTGCAGGGGGGGATGCATAATAGGGGAGGGTTGAAAATTTTAGCCAACAAGGAGAGAGGGTTGGGTAACATTTCCAACTCTCCCCTTTTGTGCGTCCCACCCCTTCTCAAAGACCGAATTTTCGAGATTTACTTTTTTATTTGACAATTTGATTTTTTTATTTAATCATCGCATGTGAACGGAGAGCTGAGGATGGCTCAGGTAGATTCTGAAACCCCCTCCCCTTGTAGGGTAAAATTTTCTATCCTCCCCTAGTGTGCGTCCCCCCTCCACCCCTTCACAAAGTCCAAATACTCGAGATTTTCATTTAAATTTAACAATTTCATTTTTTTATTTAATTGACGCATGCGAACTGAGGGATGGGGGTAGAGCGCTCTTCCCCCTGTTGGGTAAAAAATTCAACCCTCCCCTATTATGGGTCCCCCCTCCGCCCCCTCTCTAATTCCCAATGTTAAAAATTTTTATTTAAATTTAGCAATTTTATTTTTCATTCAAATAATGTATGCATATGGAGGGGTGAGGGTGTGTTAAACATATTTTGTCATGTTCCTCAATTATTTATAAAAATTAGGAGTAAAAAAGTTGACCTCCGTCCGCAGTCCCTTTGGAGCGTCGCCAGTAGAGTCCGCTCCAAAAGTTGTGGATATCACTCGCCAGAATCGTTCGCCAGTTTCAGGTTCATCTGCTCCTGATTAAAGAAAATATTCAAATTCCATATTTCTAATTTATTGACTTATTTGTTTGTTTGTTTGCTGAAAATATGTTCTGTTTAATTGATTTGGAGGCTGATTTGTTTATTTATTCACATATTTTTTCATTAATTTTCAATTAGCATCGTGTTTTCTTCCTGAATGATGAAAATCTAAAGATAGTGGGGTAAAACGGACCAAATCTATGTATCAATCAAACGAAAATAGCATAGTCAAATTTTTCACATAATTTTCAAAGGTTTTTTCAAACTCCAAAATAAAATCTCATTTATTCAAATTACGGTATTCAGTCGGGAGATATGGACAATTAAAGAGAGTCCGTTTCACCACTTCTTCACTGCATATTTTTCCCCTATGCTCCAATTAGTTTATAATATTAGGTTAGAGTTCTCTCCCCTTCCATTCTCAATTCCTGCTCTTGATTCAAAGTTTTGTAGACCTTTCAAATGAAGATTTTCTTTGATTCAAGAGCCCGTTTTATCGAAAATTCCTTGAAAACAAAGGCGCGCGACTTTGAACGCATTTATGGGCACAATGCCTTGAAATGAGCGTCGCGCCCTTGAACGAGCGTCGGATTTTTCTCAGTGTTCAATATCTCAAAGTCTAAGAGAAATAGCGAAGTTTTCATTAAAATCTTTTTTGTGGCTTTCCATCCGCTCTACAAAAAAGGCAATTACACAAACTTTGCTAACTCTCTTAAAGCAAAATTCTGAAAAAAATCTGGAATATTTTATTGGACTCACAGAACACCCTGAAAAATTGGCGAGACATTTTGCTAGATCATGAAATAGTATGTTTCGTCATTAGGCTGAAAAAAACTTTTCTGGCAAATATGAGTTTGTGCAGCCTGAGCTGAAGGCAAGGGTTGCAAAAATATGAGAGCTGCCTTGCGATACGGACGAAAAAATTTGAAAGAAAAACCTATCGAATTTGTTAGAAAATTCTATTGAATTTCTATTGAACTGTTCCATTAGTTTTTGGCCGATTCTATTAAAATGTTCAATAGAAAATATTCAGTAGAAAAACTCAATAGAATTCAATTTTTCTGTATAACTTATTCTATTGAGATATTTTCTATAAAATTTTCTCGGCTCAAATTTTACAAGTTTTTTCGCTTGATTTTCTTGATGAGAAGAAAAGAAAAATACAATGAAAAAAACCTAGTAAATTTGAGTCGAGCAAATTCTATAGAAAATATATGAAAAGAATAAGTTATATAGAAAAATCGAATTCTGTTGACTTTTTCTATTGAATGTTTTCTATTGAACATGTCAACAGAATCAGCCAAAAACTAAGAGAAAGTGTAATAGAAATTTAATAGAATTTTCTAACGAATTCAATAGGTTTTCCTATTAACTTTTTTCGTGCATGGAATGACGAAAAATAACTGTCTGGTTTGACAGAGAATGCCCCACATTCGGCTTGTAACCACTACTTCAATTTGAATGTTAATTCAATTCACCTCGTTATAGTTTCATTATTGAATATCATCAGTTTTCGTCAAAGGGAAACAATAATATGGATTTTCCAATTTTGTTCATGGGTTACAGAAATTCAACGAAATATGTAGCGACCGCAGAGTTAATTACAATTATGAAATATACTGGGTTGAATTTATTTAATCACCATCCAAACTCTCTAAAATAAGTGAGGGATGGAGTCATTCAAATAAATTGCCATTGTGAATAGTCATTTTCACTCGTAGTTCTTCACTAAATAACGGAAGTATATTGCAGTTCCATATCTTGTGATATCACAGAGTATTGTTTGATAGCATTTTGGATAAATCAGAGTTAGAATAAGGAATAAGAATGATTCTATCCTATGATATTCGTTTATTTATTCTATTATACACAGGAAGAAAAGTTGAATAAAAATTACCAAAAAAATCGTGGGAAATTTTACT